TACAGAATGACATCTTTGTCTTCTGTGTAGGTGTAAAGCAAGAGGAATTTGGTCTTCTCACCCTAAATGCTTTACTTCTCCTGCCCTGCCTTCAAGCCCTCAGAGAGTACTTTAGAAAAAAAAAAATCAAAAATCTGGGGACTTTAGAAAAAGGCAGGGTATTGTGGAAAAGCAATTTGGCCACTGGATGTGCTTTGGAAAAAGCAGAAGGAAAAGAAGGATGAACATAGCTGGGCCAGATTACAATGCATCCAAAATACTGCTTCTTGTGACAGAATCTCTTTGTTATAAGACTTACACTCTATGCCAGTGGCATCAGACGCCCAAGATGACTTAAAGATTAGAATGCATCATTAAAATCTAATCTTGAAAAGATAAGGCTTGTAGGACAAGATCTGTGTATCTTTAGCAACTGACCAGGGAGAAATCTACTTGTAAAAGCTTCCTTATAAAAGCAAGCATTTTGGCTAAGAAGAGACTTCTATGTCAAGTGCTTCCTTTTAATAATGTCATATTTGGTAGAGATTCCAGTACTCTTGGTTAAGAAGAAGAAAGCAGCAAATTAAAATGTTCCGGTGAAACATTTTTTTGTTACGGAAATATCAGAAATTCCATTTATTCAGCAGCTGCAGTTGTCTATCCCAAATACAGCTGGAAATGAAAAAGATGGCTCTTCATGGGATTTTCCATTTGTTCCTTCCTCCCACTACACACCCCCACATCCACCTTCCACCATTTCTTCTAGGGCAGATACAAAACCAGAGCTCATTTTTTTCCCCCTCCAAACCAAGAATGTTTTAAATAAGAAAATCTGTGCTCTGCAAGAGGCACATTTTTGGAGATGTGTTTTTTGATGGATCTGGATTTCTCTTTTTTTTTTGTTCCGCGTACAGATATAAGCATAAGTATGTGCCATTAAGAAAACCACTAACTTCCATAAGAAATCATTCATGTTTCTATAGTCAACTATGATTCAGGCTGGGTGACTGGTCTTTCTCTCTGGGTCATGAAAAAGAAGCCCTTCCAGAAGGCAAATCGTGCTGTTTATTGTGAGATGGGATGTATTGTCCTACAGACATTCCCATCTTTCCTCCCAAGTGCAGAGCAGTCCAGACAGTCAGCTTAGGCTGAACCCCCAAAGGAAGCAATGACCCCAACACAGGTTCACTGTCTATGCAAACCACTCTCTCTTTTACAGGAAAGGGGGATGGCCTCCTCCTTCACCTCATCTCTTGGACACCTATTTTGTAGGGAGAGGTCTTGCCTCTTGGACAGGTCTGTGTCCCTCTCTGCAGACTGCAGTAACAGCCAAGAAGGTGAGGTTAGACTCAATCCACCTAAGATCCCAGCCTTGGACCTAAATGTTAGTTAGCTAACATGAGACATAAGCACCTCTTATTGGTCCAGGGGCCCTGCCTGCACACAGGAACCAAAATTAGGAGAAAAAGATCCTTCAGGAAGCCTTCAAGGTTCTCCTCTTCATTGACTGTATCATAAATGAAGCCCTTGTTTTGACATGGCTGATTCCATGAGCAGCAAAGCCAAACAGGCTGGAGTCAATGGGGTTGTCAGTGCACTCAAAATATGTAAGATGGCCTTTAGGGGACAGTGCCCCAATCCAGCTGCTGTTTATCACCCATGTTCTCCTGAAGCCCTATACTGCAGTAGTCCTGTATGGATCCTCACCCTTCCCCTGAATCTCACCTTTTGCCCTTCATGGGCACAGTGATGTGGAACAGGTAACAGGAATATTTCAAACCTGCTGTTCCGAATACACACGATCCTTTCCAGATGATTCTGCACTAAAAAGGGCTGAGATTGTTTTCCATGGTCAATTGCTGTTGGGAGGGAGATGAACAACAAGTCCTGGCATAGGCTGAGTGCTGTGCAGGGATGACCTGTTTCCAAAACAGGTGCCTGGTATGATGCTGAGCTCAGGCTCAGGACTGGACTAAACCAAGCTCAAAAGGGCTCATACATTTGAAAGATAAATCACATGGAATGGAGAATTTTCCGGATGAGGAGGAGAATGCTCAGCACAGGATTAGCCATTTTCTGAGAAACTAAAGGGGTTTCAAAATGCACTCTCATCACCGAATTTGTTTTGTAAATAACTTTACAATTGTTTTGGACAATCAAACCTGGATATCATCTTTTTATCAGTGCAATAAAAACAACATATTTTCTTCCCTGCTATGACTAATTCTCATCAAATAGCCTTCCTCAAGATGAGCAATAACTCTAGTCCTTTTATGTTTTTTATCTGTATTTTGGTATTATTTTGAGAAGGAAATAATTGATCTTATTTGATTTTGAACATTTCTCTTTTATTCTTTTGAGACACTACTTGCTATTCTACCATCAGATACCAACTTGAACACACAGTGAAATCAATGGCAGAATATGAGGTTAATAATAACCAGCCTGTGGCAAATAATAAGCCGAGGTAAATACTCTGAAAGATTCTATTTCTGCATGTTTCTATAGATGTACATAGCACCTTCATGAATAGATCATATTCTCATTGATGTTTCTGGTGACACATTGGTGCCTGTGGTTGGAATGACACTAGGGTTTAACCCTGGCTTGCACTGATTGAAATGGCCTTTCTATTATATTTAATATAAAGAGATCTCTTTTATTCTTCAAGAAAAACTGCCATTTCTTGTTTTGATTTCTATAATAACACAAGGAGTGCAGTATAAATCACATAAAGCTTTAAGTGCTGCCTCAAAGGAGCTGCTAACAAATATCACAGAGGATTCTAGATGTATTGTATCTGTAAACATTCTAACTCTATGAACTATAATGATTGTGTATTATTAAGGGCATGATCCCACAAAAAATTGAGTGCCTCTTGCAATCTGAGCCCTTGACTTCCATGGGGTTTCATAAAGGACAAGGCTTTACACTGCAAATATCCTACAAAAACCAAGTCTTTAGAAATTCCACCCCATAGCCCTGTGTTTATTGTCTCACAAAGATACATTTGCTCAGTTTACAGGTGAGTATTTATTTTTCTCACCTGACAGTTTTGCAAACTCAACTTGACATCAAGTTGAATTTTTTCTTATTCAAGCATCATCATCAGTAATAAAGGCATTTTTGCCTTGGATACACCTGTGCAACTCCATTAGCCTCCATCAAGGTTACATGTGTGCAACTGAGGTTATATATGGAAAGCAACTGGGATGGAGAGACTTGATGGTGGACAAAAATCGACCTCTGGAATATTTATTGCTGCTGATGATGTGAAAGAAGGCAAAAAGTGGTGAGTTTAGCAAAACAGTCTAAACCTCCCACTACTTTTCTCTTGTAATGCATGCAAGCCTTATGGGGCCAGCTGAAAGACAACATGTGCTGAAAACTAGGCTTTTGCTCTCACAAAATCTAGGAATTTAATTTTTTATATTGTTTTAACTAAGTTCATAACAGAGCAGTGCTTAATCTAATGTATACCTGCATTTAATAACTAAACAATAAAGCAGCAAAATTCGTCAGTGTGCTTCTAGAAATAGATGCTGCCTGGTGACTTCTGCACACAAGCAGATGTCTTCACAACAAAATCCAAATGACAGTCTTTGGACAGTCAGTGATTTGATTTCTGTAAGTTGGTTCTATAATTTTTCTTTTCCTGTAGACTCTACTCCTTATCACCCTGAAAAGCATATACTGTAGCCTTAACAATTAAATAATAATGAGCAGACAGAAGAGAAAGGACAGGAGAGATCTGGCATAGCTACTGCTAGCAATCATTAGATTTACAGAGGGAAAAAGACATGCTTTCTAGGCCAACATATTCTTTATGAATAATTGATAAGGCAGTCAGTACAGTTATATCATAGAAACGTAATATATATCCATAATTATAGAACGAGTTTTGTGCAAAAGGACACAATACACTGAAAGGAGATACCAGCCAATATGCCATCCTGAAATAAAATACAGTCACTATTGTGTTAGTTGGCAAAATTTAAATACAGGATTTGAAGCAAGCAAAATGTTCTTTAATCCCATTTTTTAGCACAGTCCAGGCTCAGTCTGCTCAGGAAAATACTGCAAGGCAAAATCAGCAGCTGCATTAATTTGCTGATGATTGAGAGAAAAATGAAAGTTATCCTTGTGGTTTTTTTCTCCCTACTTGCTACTCTAACTTACTAATAATATGAGAGTACCAAATTATTCCTATGCAAGTATATGAAGCATACAAATTGAAAAATCAATGTAATGGAAAAAAAAGATTATCATGCACTGTTTAGAATCAATCAGCTAGAAACAGAGGGGGGAAAATGCGAAGGTGGAGACATGATGTTTAGAAAATGTACATACTGTACCTACCCTAAGCTGAAGTGTTTGTGTGAAAAAGCTATTGTTAGTCCAACATGCAGACCGAGCTACATTTTGATCAGAAAATCATCTTATTTCCGATTTTTTTTCTAGAGAAATTAATTAGTTGTCTTTTCTTCTTTTAAAAGTCCCCAAATAATAAAAATATCAATCCCTTTGCCCATAAAAGCCACACAAAAGCATGTAACAAAGATTTCAGGGTGAAGGGATTACAGTACTCCAAATGCTTTATTAGCACGATGTCTCAGCACCGTTCACCTGAATGCTGATGGCTTTCTGCAGCCTGAAGCACAGACTTTTGTCGTGTGTGACAGAGTCCCTTGCAAACATCGACAGCAGCAGTTTTTAGTTGTGGGCTGAATCACCATTAGCAGTGGAGTTTAAATCTTAGATCTCTTAGTGGTGGAACACTTTCTTCGGCCAAAACCAGCCTCTACTCATCAGAAATAATTACACTGTACGAGTCAGATGTGTAACAAATGGATCTGAGCCTCAGTTTGGAAATACATTCAGAGGAGGTGGAAAGAATGGCTACTGGCTCTGTGACAGGAGATTCAATCTTCATAAACCTGCAAGAGAGGGGAGGAAAAAAAAGCGACACAAATGCGCCCTACAAAAGAACAGAGCAGATCACAGCTGGAAGGAAGGCAAACCTTTTAATCAGGTCCTTGAAATACAAGCTGCAGGAAGCTAGAACATTTTGGTGGACTTCAAACTCTTTGCCTTCAACAATAATTTTCAGGTCTGTAAACTCTTTCGCTCTGCGTTGCTGGTTCAACTCCTTCAACATTTCTGCAGAACAGAGAAGACAGACAGTGCCAGGGTTCCCATTAAGAGTTTTTTTTAATTTTTATTTTTTACTTTTCATTTTTTTTTGTAAAGAAGTAGAGAAACAGGAAACAATTGATATTTTTGTTGGTAAGATTGGCTCAACACAGACAGTCAGAAGTTACGAACATATTAAAAAAAAAAAGAAAAAGAAAAAAGCAGGAACCAGTAGGTCTAAACAACGGAAATATATATACACAGAAAAAAAAAAAGCAAAAACAATTCCTAAATTTGGAAGGGTTAAAAATGAAAATAAAATATTTCAGCATTAGCAAATCAGAACACAGAGAATGCATTGTCACAGAAAAGTTAAAATAATTTGTTATAATCAAAATCAAGAGCTAATGAATTTCTATCCAAATGGAAATAAGTTTTGAACATACTCGAATAATATTAGTAAAAATGGTATTATGATGCAATATGAACTGGATATGGGTCAAAATAATAAAACCACAAGACCTGCAAAAATAACTTATCCTTAACATAGTAAAAATGTGTTAAGCCTCCCAGTTAACATAAAAAATAGCACTTCTAAATAATATATAAATTACAGTACATAAAAAATTAGCTAAATTATCAATGCACCTTGCAATATACCTCAGCTATATAGACTACAATTGTATATGTTTCAGAATTAGCTTTAAAACATCCTTATGATAAAAAAAATCTCATGCAGAGAATAAATTACTGCCTTTTATAGCAATTCCTATTTTTTGCACTCTAAGGATTTTTACCATCACAGCATTTTTTATTTTTTAGCCTTCAATGGCTTCATTTACAGCAACAATCAACTTTCACACATCATGAAAGAATCATAATGATTAAAATAACCTATGAAAGTGTTTCCATCCTGCAATAAAGCACCTACCTTGCATGATGTCTCCTTTTATAGAGCCTATTGGTGCTAATGGAATGAAAAGATAGCATGCCACGTCTCCATGTGGGGATGTGAACTACCAGGCAACCTACATGTTTTATATGCTGCCTGGACTTTTAAGGCTAAGACTTCCCTCCAACTTTGCAGACTGAAGTGGCTATCAAGATGAATAATATACTTTTCACCTGGGCAATAGCCTGGTGGTTCAGAAGCCAGTGATCAAGATGACAGAAGAGCTGATTTTAAATACTAAAGGACTTTGGGTTTATTTTATGTTTGCAATAGGTCAAGGTTCTCATTTCCTCAGTGTAACACCCAGAACACATTCCTCTTCAGACAGATCTGTAAATCAACAACAGTTCCTTACATGGAGCCCTAACATGAAGTAAAAGGAACCTCAAGGGTGTGTAACTCTAACTGTGCTCAAAGCTACTGAGAGGCTTGAGCAAGAGCTGCCAAAGCACTGCCAAAGGGTCTCATGGTGAAACCCAGACCCCAATAATCCCTGTGCTCTCCTGCTTCCCCAAGGAAACTCAACAGGAATCATTTCAGTCAAGCACTAGTGTTTAATGACACAAAAGCATTAAAATATACAATAGTTTTATGAAAAGAAATTGAAGCTCTCCCAAGCCCCAACATCTGTGGTGCATATTTTTCAGGCCTAAGTAAATAAATGTCACCTTGCACATTTATGTCTATTTAATGGAAACACAGTAGTGTCTGAAAGGCTAATTATTCTATGCTGAAATGGGTCAGTGCTCTCCAGAGAGCAAGCAGATCATTAGAGAGGGCACAGAAATAACAGCAGGCTTTTGTCAGATCTATAATAGGGGAAAATAAACCACTTTGTCCTGTGGGTGCTGTAGCAGGGACTATTTTTAACAAATTCAGCTGAGGTAAAGCACAATGATACATTTCGAGCAAAACCTAAAATGGGATCTGAATGTTCAGTCCAGTGCAGGGGAGTCTCAGGCTTTTGCTGGAGGTGTGATGCCTCAAGTCACTGCACAAGGAACACTTTGGGCCTCAGCTAAAGATCAAGCATGGTTTGGGCACAAGGGGTGTTATGCTTGATTGAGGGCCAAAGTGATCATTTTTCTGTCCCTTTCACATATGAACAGTTCCCCCCCCCCCCCCCCCCATCGTGGTCCATTTTCCCACTTTCATTTACAGCAACGACATTTTCCTCACATCAATTTTCTATCATTTCATGTTTAAAGACTGTTACTTTTCCCTCTAAACTTTCTGATACGCTCTCCCCTTTTCAAATTTACCCAACCACTGTCCTTGACCCCCATTTGCACTTATCCTAAGTTCCTATTCAAGTTCCATTTCTCTTGTATCTGTGACTTTAGAACCTTCCTTGCAGAGGCCTTTCAGGACAAGGGCTCCATCCGTGACGAAGTCATACAAGTCTAAGATTCCGCTTACACAAAGGGTCAATCTCCACCTCACCTCATTCCATCTCCCTCTTTTAAAGCTCATGATCAATTATTACAGTGTTCAAAGGGCACAATTGTATGAATAGCAGCTGCACAGATGGATCCTGTGCGAGAGGAGAGGAGAGGAGAGGAGAGGAGAGGAGAGGAGAGGAGAGGGAACACAGTTTAGTTGTATTCTTGAATGGGCTGGGGGTTTTAGGAAGTGAGCTCAAGGTAAGCAGATCAGTACAGACCATCCTTGAACTCCTGACTGTGGCCAAGATTACTGAAAAACAAGACACAAAGCTCAGTCACTGTACCTATTGATGCTGTGCTCTCTGTGCTGCCTCCAGTATTGTGAGAGCTGGTTTGAGCATCTAATTCCCCAAGCAGCTCCCACAGGTAATGGGCTCATTATTTGGACTTGCTGAGCACCCTTTAATTACACTCAGTCCTGGGCACAGCTTCTATCTATGCTCTTTACACACTTGAATGTGCTTTATGCTGCATGGATTCATTAAGGGATGCAAACCAGAAAACACGTCTGGAGCAGGGATGTAATTTGGCTCACAAAAACCCAGAAATCAGAACAAGTTCTAATCAGAAACCAAAGCTCCTCTTTTTCCTACAGACATTTGCAGGCTGTGATTCCCTCCTTGTTCCCCTAAATTGCTATAGCTGCCCACAGACAGATGACTATGAACTGTCCTGAATTTTTGCAGCTCAGTATCTGAACTAGAAAGAGGAGAGGCAGGTGGAGAGGAGAAGGAAGTCAGGAGACCACATTGATTCATCGACCTTCCTCGCTCAGGCTCCTTTGTATTACTAAATAACTAGCAGGCATTAGTATTGGACACAAGGTTATATCAGAATGGGCCCTCATTCTCAGAGAATTTGTAATGCTCACACTGTGCTTAGCCAGGCATTAATGATTTATGAGGACTCAGGATGAGTTGCAAAACAAATTTTTTCACCAGGTAATAATGCCTGCCGATGAGTTGTAAAAGAAGAGACAACACAGTGCAGTCCTGGCAGTGAAAAATTACCTCAGCTGTCTCCTGCTAGGCCCTTTTCTGGGCTCCTCCTAATTTTCAGCATTTCCTCAAACAAATGGAATTTCCTGAAACCTTCAAAAAGGGATGTGCTGGGAATTTCCTACTGGATTATTTATTCCTCTCATTTCTTTGTTCTAATGGACTTTATTTTCTTTGTTTGAGGTTTTTCCCCCCCTCATTTGACTATTTGTTTTATTAAGAGATCCAGGCAAAAATGAAGCTCAAGGACAGTTAAGGTGCAGAGTTTCAGCAGGATGAGCACTGATGTTTCTTCTCAGGGAATCACAGCCACTGCTCTACCCTAGTGCAAGGGATTTTCTCTTCCTGACACAGGTGCATACACACACATTGGCACGAGATTTGAAACCAAGCCAGTCCTTTCTGTCCCCTTCTTCACTAGTGATGCCAAATCATTCTCAGTGGAAGACTGGTTGAATGCTTTCTTCATAAAGAACTGCACAAGAGACACCCCAAAATTACATGAGCTACATAGTGGCTGAAGCTAAAGGGGACTTGACCTGAAACCTGCAACTGAACATCTCTGTGGAGCATTTTCTGTCTTGCCATTATCATTGCTTGGGGGCATTTAATATAATTATATTGAGAGTCCCAGAGACATTATAGGTCAGAAGGTGTAAGTGACTTTCCTCAGGTCAGAAAGAGAGTCAGGAAGAACTCAGAAGTTTTGATTCTTGGTCCCCAGCTTCAGCCATCACACCACATTTTTTCCCTCTTAATTAATGGACAAATTACAAATTAAACTAAAGAGCCCACAAGCTGTGAATAAAATACAGGTCCAAGGACAACTGTGTAACTGTGTAGATCAAGTAAAGAGAAAAGAAATGATATAGTGAGTATTTTTAAAAAAATTACTTATAATCAGAAATAAAAAATGAACAAGGAACTTATTCCCAAGGTTTATTTATTCTGTATTTTAAGCACAGTGAAGACTGGATACTTAAAGACCCTCTCTAATGCACATTCCCATGGCACAATGGAAGCTCTCAGGTTTCTTTCCATTTTTAATAAAGTACTCTTTACTTAAATTCCAGTAGATAAAGCTTTAAAGGAGGGCAGCAGGAACTAAAATATAATGAGACACAAAATATGGAAGAATAATTTTTACAAACAGCTTTTAAAACAATTTACTTGGGAAAACTAACCTTCTATAAAACTGCAAAGGGTAATTGATGAAACATCACTAATTATTCTAGTGAGGAAATACAAGAGACTAGTGCTTGCTGATACAGCCTCATGCTTTCATGATTGGGACAGAAAACGTGGGAAAGCCAAGAAAAGTTACCAGGAGGAAAATCCAATTACCTTCTTCCCTTAATAAGTATGGAGATTAATTCCAAAGGTTATGCTCTAGTTATGCAAAACAAAAATTTTAACCATTATGCACCAGCACTGCCCACACTTGCTTATTTTTATAGTGGTAGAGCAGGGGTAGATACAAGAAACTAAATCATGAAGCAGAAGCTCTAGAAGTCAAACAGGATCTGTGAGTGGCAGGAAGGAGTTTACCACAGTGAACCACACAAGAACTCAGGATTTTTTGCCACTTTGACAAGTCCTTCTCCTCACCACAACATCCACAGACACACAGAG